CTTTTAATGTATTGTTGGATTCCATTTGCTAGTATCTTTTTGAGAATTTTTGCATACATGTTCATCAAGGAGATTGGTCTGTAGTTCTCCTTTTTATTGGAGTCTTTATCTGGTTTTGGAATCAAGGCAATGCTGGTCTCATAGATGACTTTGGAAGTTTTCCCTCCATTTCTATTTTGTGAAACAGCTTCAAGAGAATAGGTGTTAACTCTTCTTTAAGTGTTTGTTAGAATGCCCCTGGAAAGCCATGCAGCCTGGGACCCTTGTTTATTCAGAGATTTTTGATTATTGATTCAATTTCTTTACTGGTTATGGGTCTGTTCAAATTTTTTACTTCTTCCTGTTTCAGTTTTGGTAGGATATGTCTAGGAATTTGTCCATTTCTTCCAGATTCCCCAGTTTGTTGGCATATAATTGCTCATAATGTTCTCTTATTTTTGTTTGTATTTCTACAGTGTTGGTTGTGATCTCTCTTTGTTAAAATTTTATTTATTTATTTATTTATTCATTTATTTATTTATTTATTTATTATTTTTTTTTTAACGTTTATTTATTTTTGAGACAGAGAGAGACAGAGCATGAATGGGGGAGGGTCAGAGAGAGGGAGACACAGAATCTGAAACAGGCTCCAGGCTCTGAGCTGTCAGCACAGAGCCTGACGTGGGGCTCAAACTCATGGACCGTGAGATCACGACCTGAGCCGAAGTCGGCTGCTTAACCGACTGAGCCACCCAGGCGCCCCTATTTATTTATTTTGAGAGAGAGAAAGAGAGAGAGGAGGGGGAAAGAGAAGGAGAGACATCCCAAACAGGCTCTACATCATCAGTGCAGAGCCTGACATAGGGCTCAGACTCACAAACTGTGAGATTATGACCCGAGCAGAGATCAAGAGTTGGATGCTTAAACAACTACACCACCCAGGCACCCCTCTGCTCTTTCATTCATGATTTTATTTACTTGGGTTCTTTCCTTTTTCTTTTTGATAAATCTAGCTAAGGGTTTATCAATTTTGTTAATTCTTTCAAAGAACCAGCTCCTGGTTTTGTTGATCTGTTCTACTATTTTTCTTTTAATTTTGATATCATTGATTTCTGCTCTAATGTTTATTATTTCCCTCTTCTGCTGGTTTTGGGCTGTCTTTGATGTTCTTTTTCTAGCTTTTAAGGTGTAAGGTTATGTTGTGTATTTGAGACCTTTCTTCCTTCTTTAGGAAGCCCTGGATTGCTATATACTTCCTTTTTATGACTGCCTTTGCTGCATCCCAGAGGTTTTAGATGGTCATGTTTTCCTTTTCATTGGCTTCCATGTACTTTTTAATTTCCTCTTAAATTGTTGTTTACCCCATTCATTCTTTAGTAGGATATTCTTTAATCTCCAAGTGTTTGTGGTCTTTACAATTTTTTTCTTGTTATTGATTTCAAGTTTCATAGCATTGTGGTCTGAAAATATGCATAGTATGATATCAATATTTTTGTACTTGTTGAGGGCTGATTTGTGACCCAGTATGTGATCTATTTTGGAGAATGTTCCATGTGAACTCAAGAAGAATGTGTATTCTACTGCTTTAGGATTAAATGTTCTGAATATATCTGTTAAGTCCGTCTGCTCCAGTGTGTCATTCAAAGCCATTGTTCCCTTGTTGATTTTCTGCTTAGATGACCTTTCCATTACTATTAGTGGGGTGTTGAAGTCCCCTACTATGATGGTATTGTTACCAATGAGTTTCTTTATGTTTGTTATTAATTGATTTATATATTTGGGTGCTTTAAGTTTTGTGCATAAATATTTGTAATTGTTAGATCTTCTTGGTGGATAGACCCCTTAATGATGATATAATGCCCTTTTTCATCTCTTATTCCAGTCTTTGTTTTAAAATCTAGTTTGTCTGATATAACTATGGCTATTCTGGTTTTCCTTTGAGCTCCATTAGTATGATAGATGGTTCTCCATCCTCTTACTTTCAATCTGTGGATGTCTTTAGGTCTAAAATGAGTCTCTTGTCTATATGTAGGCAGCATATAGATGGGTCTTATTTTTTTTTATCCATTCTGATACTCTACGTCTTTTTATTGGATCACTTAGTCCATTTACATTTAGAGTGATTATTGAAAGTTAATGAATTTATTGCCATTGTGTTGCCTGTACATTTGATGTTTCTGGTGATGTTCTCTGGTCCTTTCTATTCTTTGCTGCTTTTGGTCTTTTTTGTTTTGTTTTGTCTTTTCTCCACTCAAAGAGTCCCTCTTAAAATTTCTTGCGGGGCTGATTTAGTGGTCATGAACTCCTTTATTTTTTCTTTGGGAAAAGAGAAAGGAAAAAAAGTTAAAAATTAAAAATAAAACAAACAAATAAACCAGCAAACAAAATGAAACCCAAATGAAGTTACATCCAGTTTCCCCTAGAACTGAAACTTTGCAGCACACTATAGTAAGTAAATTAATAAACAGGTGGAAGGGATTTGTGTTGGTCTTCTGGGGGATATGCCTGGAGGGTTCAGGTGGGCAGGGCTTGGTGTAGTAACTCTGTTATGCACTTAGTGGTGCTGCTTAGCTTACTGAGGTTGATACATGTGTGCACACTAGAAGTGAAAATGGCTTCACTCAGCTCCTTAGTCTCTGGTGCAGGAACCCCATGCCCTCAACCAGCCCACAATCAAGCATCCTCCTTTGTCTCAAGCTTCTGTCTGATCCTGCCTCTACCTTGTTTGCGTCCAAGCTGCCTGCCTGCCAGGTAGCACTTCCCTCCAGAGTTTTATCTCAAATGGGGCTGTGTTTCTAAACCCCACACTTCAGAAACTCCCATGGTTTTCTGGAGGACTCTCTGGGGGAGGATCTCACTGAGCAATGGCCGAATGCTGGCTTGCCCCAGAGAATGTTCCTGCTATCATGCAGTGGCAGACACCCAGAGTTTATGGCAAATCACAACATACAACTGGCACCAGGTTTTGCTGTCCTCTGGCATCTTTGTTCTAATATCATTAAACGTGGCCACTCCCTGGGGTCTGTTGGGACCTATGCCTGTGGGGAGGCCATATGGCTTCTACCAAATGCTATCCAATCAGGGAAACTGCTTCTCCCCATGTGACCCTTCAGACCATGCTGCCTATTCCTGGGGATTCACCCTACTTTTTCACCAAAGCAATGCCAGGCACTGAGCTTGAAACTTCAGACTCTGAGCTCCACTGTTTATAGAATCTTGGTGGTATTGAAACCCTCTCCTTTCTCTCCTTTAGTGATTTTGGGGAACAGATTTCTTGTTCAATCCCCTGCGAGTATTTTCCCTCTCTCTCTCTCTCTCTCCAGTTACTTTCAGGGGGAGTGCTTTTCTTGTGCAATCCCCATGCGCTGCACTCTCTGCCTTTCTCTTTCTCTGTCATTTCTCCATGAAAATGGATCCTTACCCTCTGTGGCTCTATAGCTTTTCTCTCCCCCAATTCACTTCTCCACACCGTGTACCTGCCAAATTCACTGGCTCCAATTATTCAGGATTGTTGCATTAATTCTCAGATCAATTTCCTGGGTGTTCAAAATGGTTTGATGCTGATCTAGCTGCATTTCAGGGACGAGACAAGCTCAGGGTCCCTTACTATTCCACCATCTTAACTCCCCCGGGCAGACATTCCTAAAAGAATGGGGAGGAATTAATGATCACATAGTGGCTCCATAGGACTGGCATACTCCCATTAGGGGAAAATTTGTTTGTATATTTTATTTCCAGCTGTGAGGTTGGGTTTACATTTACCATGACTTGGCCTCTCTAATGAGTTGTGTTTTTTTTAATGTTTATTTATTTTTTGAGGTGGGGGGGCATGAGTGGGGGAGGGGCAGAGAGAGAGGGAGACAAGAATCTGAAGCAGGCTCCAGGCTCCAAGCTGTCAGCATAGAACCCGACCACGGGCTTGAACCTACAGACTGTGAGATCATGACCTGAGCAGAAGTCAACACTTAACCTACTGAGGCACCCAGGCACACCCCCTTTTTTTCTTTTCCCTCTCTGATGGATTTGATCAGCAGATTTAAGTTAAAAACAAAAACAAAAAAATCTCAAACTTTGGCTGCATTTACTGCTTATTTGTATTGATAAATCTCAGGTCCTTTGGTGGGGGAACTAATATCTACCGAGATTGTGCCTCCCTCAATTCAATATTTATTGACTCCTACTATATGCCAGGCATTGTCCTGTATAAGCAATGAATACATTAAAATCTCTATTTAATAATCCCTGTTAAGTTGAATTCAATTATTTAGAAGTTATGCTGTGTGGAAATTGATTATGATATGACTTAGCCCCCAAAATGGGATATAAAATGGTATATTATATATGATGTCAGCTCAGCTCAGTGAATTTATATACATTCATAAGCAAGAGAAAAGCCCATTTCTGGTATAAGCTTAAATTTGCCTCTTTCTTTATGCCTGCTTATGAAAATCAAATATCTCCCATTGCAGTCATTCCTGAACTAGATTCCAAAAGGGAAATTTGAGGGGTTGGAGAATTTAGTACATCGTCCTTTTTGCTTAAAAGTTATTTTTTTTAAGCAAGCCTATGCTTGGTACAAAACTAATACACACACACACACACACACACACACACACACACACGGATATTCTCGATGTGTATCAATGTGTGTGGGTGTGTTTGGGGTCTTTCCCCTAATACTTTAAGGTCGGATACATCTGCATGAAATTCCCAAGGGATAAAAGGGAGGGAGATGCATTAGTGAGTGATCTAACTAGTTTACTTTTCTATAAAAACTCCGTCCTGGACAGTTAGCGATCTCTTTCATTCAGCACGAAGATCTAGAGGTTTCTTTATTCACTCTGAACACGTGAACACCTCCAGAAAAAACTCAAGCTCACCATTTTGCCATTTGCTTGATCTTTTCTTTACAATGTGCCTCAGGAAGGGTAGATGAAAAATTTGAAATATAGTAATAACCCCAAGTCATTTCTGTTTCTTATTACATTGTCTCTTCATCCCACCACATTATTTTTTCAAAGGATCCCCAAGATGCCATCCCCAGAGGAACCATGCTGGCCATTTTCATCACCACTGTTGCCTACATAGGAGTTGCTATTTGTGTAGGTAAGTTGTATGTCTTTGGTGTAAGAATTCCAGAATTACAAGGAGTCTAGTCCTTTCATGTCCAGTGGGCTTTCAATGGATCATAAGTAGAAAGTTTTTTTTAAAGACAACATTTTTATTCCCCTCTGGATGCTCTAGGGGTTTGAATGCAATTAAGCTATAATATAGGTGTCTCGGGGTCAGGGCTAGGATAGAGTTAATAAGATTGTCATTCTGCCTGAACACAAAGAGAATCCAATTTAGCTACTCTAGGTGATAATCCCCCCTGCCAAAGATGTTTTGCACCCACCCAGCACCCACCTCCCTTGTCTTGGGAGGGAGGTGAGAAACAGCCAGAGAGAAGCCAAAAGAAAACAAGACAAAAACAAAAAGGCTTAGGAAAATATGAAAGATCTAGAATTGATGACTGTATCTCCTCCTTGCACTAACTGTCCCTAATATGGAAATGTCACTGTCACTAGTTGGCAGGAAATCAGAACAAGACCCAGCTGCCAGCAGTGTGGGTGGCCAGCCCCCACCATTGCTCAGTGAACAGAAAATATGTGAATGCACCTGCTGTTCCTAAGCTGACTTTCATTCCACCTGGTGCCTGCAGCCACACCTCCTCCTGGTTGGGGGTCACTTCATGCTTATACCATAGTAGGAGAGGAAGCAATGTGGAACATTCAGAGAAGAAAACTCTTTTCTGTGCACTGCACAGAATATAGTTCCCCACTGCAGAATCCCGGATGACCATTTTGCTGAAGGGCACATCCCAGTAGTCCTCTACTTAAAGGAAATTGGGGAACTGCATTAATCTTACTTTGGTTTGTGGAGAAAAAAGCAAAACAGTTAACTTAGATTCTTGCTCCTCTCACTGTCTCTTATTTGAGGAAAATGGATAATGTTAGCTATATTGCTGTGGCATTTTCAAGTTTAGTTACATGTAAAGAGATTTTATTCCAATACTTTAGAAAATTGACACATTTTTAAATGACATTGAAATCACCTTAAGTTAAATTTCCCAAATGGTTTTCTATCTCACATGAAGTAAAAATGAAGGAATGAGTAAAGTTATAGACCTGATTTCAGAGAATCTTTCAGTTTTTGCCTGGGGCAGAAAATCTGTTTCTATGCTTTTCCCTGGAGAGGAGGACAGTCATGAGGTCTATACCCTGTCATTAGTTATGGTTCATGGCTTGGCTTCACTGAAATTTGGGGAGTTGTATAATGCAGAAGCCAAAATATATGATTCAGAAAAGTCAGCTCAACATAAAAGAACAAAGCATAAAGGTAAAATCTAGAATGGATAGTTTTGCTTGGTAACCAACATCCATGATTTCAACTGTTTAAGCAGTCCTGTCATGTTATGTTTACTGTGGTGGGGAGAGAATGGGCCCTTGTATGAATTGCATCACCAGAGAAAGATTACCACCTGACAGGGTACCTGTCACTGAGACCTCTCTTGAAGTTAATAGCAAGGGATGATGACTCCTACTGGCTGGAGTTGGAATTGCAAAGTGAACAGTTTCATTGGTTGGGATTTAGTTTGCAAAACATGTATCCTTCAGGTGGTTCAGAAAAGTTTCTACGTATATCCCATGTATAGTCATATATTTCAATAATTCTATCAAATACATAGTGGCAGAGATTATAGTTATAAAATTCCTAAGGAAAGTCAGTGATTAAAATATCTATCAAGAATCTTTAAAAAGTTCATAACTCCATTTCTAGGAATCTACCCTAGAGAAATGTGTTGAAATATGGAAGGAAATTTTGTGTACAAAGGTGTTCATCATAGGTGTTCATTCATACATAGAATAGGTGTTTATAGTAGAAAATAACAGAAATACCAAAATGTATAAAAATAATGGAATACACTGATATTTGATAGAATATTATTTGACCATTAATAGTACCAAGGAAATCTTAATATTTTATCCCCCATTTCTTTATTATTTAAACCATTAAAATTCTATATAAAGTAGAATTATAGCTATGTTTAAATAATTATGAAAGGACTATCATTAGTTGAAAACAAGGGCTCAGGGGCGCCTGGGTGGCGCAGTCGGTTAAGCGTCCGACTTCAGCCAGGTCACGATCTCGCGGTCCGTGAGTTCGAGCCCCGCGTCGGGCTCTGGGCTGATGGCTCAGAGCCTGGAGCCTGTTTCCGATTCTGTGTCTCCCTCTCTCTCTGCCCCTCCCCCGTTCATGCTCTGTCTCTCTCTGTCGCAAAAATAAATAAACGTTGAAAAAAAAAAATTTTAAAAAGGAAACAAGGTCTCAGTTCTCTTAATTACCGAAATCAATAATGCTACCCCTTGGTTCTCTCACCGTTGAGAAAATAAATCCTTCTACCTGCAAAACACCTGATCAGTAGTACCAAACCAGATATATGAATCGAATACATATTATGTGCAAAGCATTGCCATGTGCATTTCAGAAAGTAATAGGGTTCCAACCCCCAAGTGTCTTAAAGAGGTAGGTGAAAGCTTGGACTTAAAGCACCCAAGGCAGTGGAAGTGGCAGCTTGTTAGAGACAGGGGGCGCTCTCAAGCCTCTGAGAATGGGAACCTCCAGGTACCTGATCCCAGAATGACAAGAGAGGATGGCAATGGACCTGCTCAGACTCAAAGTAAACTATGATTTCAGAAGAAAACCTTATAGGGGGCAGAACACTTAAAAAGAAATGACAAGCCATGGTTGTTTCCCCAGGAGCCTGTGTGGTCCGAGATGCCACTGGAAGCATGAATGACACAATCATTTCTGGGATGAACTGCAATGGTTCAGCAGCCTGTGGGTTGGGCTACGATTTCTCAAGATGTCGGCATGAACCATGTCAATATGGGCTGATGAACAATTTCCAGGTTTGAATGACCAAAAAAAAAAAAAAAGTTGATTGCTATTTTCATTTGTAGAATGTCATGTGGAGTATAATGAAACTTCTGACTTTGCAAATGATTGATTGTGGATCCATTTGAATTCAGCAAGGAACCATTCATGAGTGAGGGAAGGGAACCCTATAGGCATTATGTAGTGGCAAATCCTGTGGTTACGTTTACTGTGGCGGGAAGAGAATGGGCCCTTGTATGAATTGCATCACCAGAGAAAGATTACCACCTGACATTATGCATCTTCCAGTCAATTATGAAAGATTCCATGGCGGGGAGAAGGAGAGACTTAGATAGTTAGCACTTGGAATGCACGTTGTGCATGGACTTCAGTTTAGGAAAGGGCCCCAATGTGGTCCTGGAGTGCCTGGAAAACAAGGCCAAGAAGGAAATTGTGAGTGGCAAAAGGGGAGGTAAATGAGGGGGGAGGAAGAAGGGAAGTTGGGAAAGCTGCAGAACTTGAAACATCAATTTGTCTGAATGATTGGTGAGCAGAGGGAGAGGCAAATTTGTCTTGAAGGCTTCATTCGTACATTTTAACAACCAACAAAGAGAAATTAACTCAGTTGAAGTCATTATTCCAAAATATGCCTTAAATTGACAGAATCTCATCATGTCTAAGATCTAAAATTATATTTAATGATCACAGAGAAAGCAAATGTTTCAAAAGCTTCTATGTGCAGGAAGAACAAGAAAGTCTAAAGCTTTTTGGAAGACCAGTAAACAACTGAGCCCTCCCCAAAACTTATTTAAATACCAGTTCCTACTGGATAGGATTTCCCATTGTCCAGGAAACATATGCCCAAAAAGACAGGGGTAATGTTGTCAAAGTCCTTGAAATCATTTCCTTATTTATTCTTTCCAGTATCTTCTGGATGTATTGTGGTGAGCATTTCTTATTGTTATAAACAATGACAACAAAATGGCCATGTCCATTTTGAAAAAAAACAAATATTGAGGAACTTGAGAATGAAGCAGGGGCGGGGGGCAATCTGGTTAGAAGCAATTAATTTGTAAAGGAGATTCCAAATCACAGAAAGTAGAAAGGGAAGCGTTTGCATAAAATTTTGACTTTCTTTTTTAATTGTGTGATGGATGAGTCTCCTTACTGGAATGTCTTTTCTCAAGGTCATGAGCATGGTGTCAGGGTTTGGCCCCCTCATCACTGCTGGCATCTTTTCTGCAACGCTGTCCTCAGCCCTGGCCTCTCTCGTCAGCGCACCCAAAGTGTTCCAGGTGATACAAGCACAAGAGCATGTTCCTCTCCCTACGTCTGTTTCCACTAAACTTGGATCAAGCTGAAATACTCATTCTCACGAGCAATCATCTTCCATCATTTTCTGAAACAGTTTAACGTTTGCATCTGGCTCAAATGCTGTCTGCCACATAGTCAAGATCGATTCAAATAATATAAAGAATGACAAACTGCAGTGTTAACTTGTGCCTATATCATGTACCACTTCATCTTTCCCCAAATCTTCTTGTTTGAATCACCTAGGGAAAATGACTGTGCATAGATATAAATGATGAATATCTCCTCTTCTTTTCCATTAGGCACTGTGCAAGGACAACATCTACAAAGCCCTGCAGTTCTTTGCAAAGGGATATGGGAAAAACAATGAACCCCTGAGAGGATACATTCTCACTTTTGTTATAGCCATGGCCTTCATTCTTATTGGTTCGTAGTTTTCTCTTGCTTCCTGAAAGCCAAGGAATTCTTCTGATTACTGTTAGGGTTTTCTTTTTAGCTTGACGAATTGCCTGTTTTATGTTTAATATCCCAATTCATATAATTGGAGTCTGTCTAATCCAAGGAATCCTTGTGTGTAGAGAGCATTCGAGGACTTGAGGTAGACTTTGAATCTTCTTTGAATCTGAATGTTGGAAATCCATCCAACCAAATGCAAGAGAATCCTTCCTCCAAGCTCCCTGATATTGTGTAATTCCAGAGTCTTCCCCAGGTGCCACTTGTCTCCACCTCTCCTGGTTTGGCAGCTAGCTGGAGAATTGAAGTGTCATTTTCAAAATATGGTCCATTGACCACTTATATCAGAATCCGAATCACCTGGGGTTTGTTAATGTGCCAGTTTTTGAGACCCAACCCCAGAATTAGAATCAGTGTCTCTGGGGATAAGGAATCTGCATGTTTACAAGTTCCTCAGGAGATTTGTAGACGACTAAGGTTTGAGAACCACTTACCCAGACTGTAATCTCGGCTTCCTCTCCAAAGTGATATAGGAACAGCTGCACAATCTTGGAGAGGCACATTCATCAACTTTAGCCTGCACGTTCCTCGTTCCTCCCTAAGGTGCTACCATTGCTGGTGAGCCTATCAGAGGAAAAGAAGCCAAAAGCAAGGCCATGATAACTGTGCCTAGAAGGGCAGAGCCTTCCTCAGCACAGTGGCACTAAACAATAAAGGCCCCTCATCATCACATGAACTCAGGAAGTGACTGTAATTCCTGAATCCTCATAAGATTTCTACAAGGTTGAAGAGGTAGAAAATATGACTGTCTGTGTTTTTTAGATTTTTAAAAGATTAAATAAAAAGTGATTATTTACAGAAAAGCTTCCATTCTATAACTTAAGCATAACACCTCAAATCATTGCCCTATAATGCATTTATGTGATCGAATAGCCCAAGTGTTAGAAAATTGTATAAATTAAATAATATCCTTAAAAATCACTGAGAACAGTGTAGACTAGCTTCATGGCACAAACTTCATGGCAGCCATTTTTGCCTATTCCTTGCTGGCATCTATGGTCTAGAATCACACCCAGATGCTACCTGTATTTGCATCACTGTGGTTGACAGATTAATGATAATGTCTCTGAATTATTTCCTATATCATACAGTAAACAATTCAGCTAGGATTAAATCATACTGGATATTTAGGTACTGGGGTAAAAATTTTCTGGCACACCTTGAGAGGTAGAACTCTCTAGAAATGTTTAAAAGTGGGGGGGGGGCAGCAAATGACTAGCAAGAGTTGAGAGTCAAGAAGAGTAAGTTGGGTATAGAGATTTCCAATTGGGTATTGCTGGTGCCCTGGTATTTAATCTGTCACACTGCAGAGCTTAGTGACACAGGAGAAAAATAATTTCTCCTTGTATCCACAGCAGACAAAGAATAGAAGATATGGTACCTCTGGACTACCTACAGGGGAGTTTATCATCTGCCCAGTCCCCAAACCCTCTACCCACGCCCACTTGAATTACAGGTCTTGCCGATTGTCTATTTTCTCATTGGTAGGTTTTCTTGTATCTTACTTTGTGGAAACCCCGGCTGAAAAAATATTTTTAAATGAATGCAACCCCAAAGAAAAATCACTAACTTCTTAAACTTTGACAAATGCTAGCTATGTTTTCAATTTCCAAATAAAGTCAAGCTTCCAGGCTGTGACAGCTGTTCAGCCCCTGGTCTCATCACTCATATGTACATGCTCACTTCTGCTTCATTCACAGCGGAACTGAACACCATCGCCCCCATCATCTCCAACTTTTTCCTGGCCTCATATGCACTTATTAATTTCTCCTGCTTCCATGCCTCTTATGCCAAATCTCCGGGTAAGTTGACTTTTCGTAACTAAAATAAGCCTAAGAAGGCAGTTAGTTTGTCTCAATAAGATGAAATAAGTCAGTGAAAAGTGCTCAATCTGTGTTTATGTATTTCCTTATATCCTAGTGGGCAGCGTAATCCACTTTATTTTGGTGAGTTGGGGGGTGACTTCTGAAATAGAAAAAGAATCATTTGAGCAATGGCCTTTTTGACCAACCGTAAAGTCAATTTTCTCCTGCAGCAATAAATTATTCATTGCAAGAGAAACCACATTTATTTCAGCAGTAGAAAAACACCACTATTTATTTCCAGGGTGAAAGTGACCACAGAAGTGGAATAAATGTATATATTTGAAACTTCCTTACTATCAATTTGTTTCCTGCCCATGGTGCAGAAGAGAAGGATGAGTAGTTCCCATAATTACCTGCTGAGTACAGTCGATGCAGATTCGTATTGAAACCAGTGGCATCCCTGCCCTCCTCAGACTGTGGTTGAAAGTGGTGCAAAATTTCACGCCAAAGAACCTTCCCTGTCTAGTCACCTCTCACCTCTTCCTTGCTTTCATTCGCTATTAGAATTCCTTCTACCTTTCCACCAGAATAGATACTCGTCACAATTGACCTTCAGAAAGTTCTTCACCACGAGAGCCTTTATCAGGGATGTAAACACATTTCCACTCTATTAGGGCCTGCTGTGATCACAAGCTTCCTTTGCAAAACCTGCTGCCAATAAGACAAAATATGGACAGAAGGGGAGCCTTCGTCCACTCAAGGCCACTGGGCTTCAGAGGACAACTGAGGAACTTTTGTTTCTGTTGTGTTGTCTTCTTTTAAACAGAGAACAGAAAGTTCTAGTCAGTGAATACAACAAGTATAGAAATGTGTGCCTCCATGCCATGTTATGTTCATCTTTGAAAAGCAAGGTGAAATCATAGAGATGGGAAGGGGAAAGAGTGGAAAAGGAAGGAGTGAAAGAGGAAGAAAGAAAAAGAGAGAGGGGAAAAAAAACACAGAGACACATGGATACACAAACCCACAAAATGACACACACACTGCCTCTGCCACACACAAACACACACACACACACACACACACACACACACACACACACACACACACACGTGCGCGCGCTCACATACAGCCAGACTTGGAAAAATAAAGGCATTTCCAGGGATGTTCTCAATGTGCTATTTCCATCTGGTGGCCATTTCAGAAATTGCTCCTGAAGACTTTGAAGGCTCTGTTGTGTTTTGGCAACTCCAAATTTAATATGTATTTCACCCATAGACCAAATGCCCTTCAAATCAGAACTTCCCTAGCTGACCATACTGTCTTCCAGCTTCTTCACTGCAAGGAACATGGGAAACTCCCATGCATATATGAACCATGAGAAATATTTTCACTGTAAAATGTAAAACATTAATGCATCAGATTTAAAAAGCTATTACAGAAAAACTTCTCCCTTTTTCTCATAGATTATTATTTCTGAAAGGGCAATCACTATCCTCTTAACATAAAGAAGGTAAAGACAGAGCTATCAGGAAGTTACTGGCTTGACTTTTGATGAAGCTCTACCTTCTCCATAGGAACAATAAGCCCGTTGTCTTAACCTCCTCTTTCTTGGGCCACCAAGGAGTGTCTCTCCCTCCTCCCCACTAGACCCTGCTCTTTTCATCTCTCCTGCCTCCTTTTAACTCCTGATGGCATAGATATCAGAGGCTTAAGATTTCATAGTTTGGGAAGACAATTGGGGCATGCTGGAAATACAAAGAGGCCATGAGTAACACATTTTTTATATTTATAGCATTCTTATTTACTATACCTTCATAGGCCAGGAACCCAAGGTCACAGAAAACTAATAACAGAATTGGGAACTTGACCTAAAAGTTCTGATTTTCATGCTAGGAAAAACTGTTGCCTGCAGCTAAAAAATTTTTTAAGTTTATTTTTGAGAGAAAGACAGAGAATTCAAGTGGGGGGAGGGGCAGAGAGAGAGGGAGACAGAATCTGAAACAGGCTCTGCGCTGTCAGGGCAGAGCCTGACGTGGGGCTTGAACCCATGAACCGTGAGATCAACACCTGAGCCAAAGGCGGATGTTCAACCTGCACCCCCAAGCTGCATTCTAATCATATGTAGTGGTATAAAGTAATAGTGTGAAAGTTTTTCTTATGCACTGAGATTTTTTATTTCAGGATGGAGACCTGCATATGGAATTTACAACATGTGGGTATCTCTTTTTGGAGCTGTTTTGTGCTGTGCAGTCATGTTTGTTATCAACTGGTGGGCAGCTGTCATCACCTATGTCATTGAGTTCTTCCTCTATATATACGTGACTTATAAGAAACCAGGTAAGATAAGGACTGTACAGGAGGGTGTTTCAAAAGCACTCCCTAACTAACCATTCATTCAACAAATGTTTATTGAGCACCTCCTATGTGCTTAGGTGTGCTATGTGAACAGTGGATATTAAAAATATAACATAATAGTTAACCATATATACCATATATACCAAGCACTCCTTGAATCCTCACAATGATGCTGTATATCAGGTATCATTAGACCCATTTCACAGATGAAGAAACTGAAGTTCAAACAGTTGACCGTTTGTCAAGGTGACAGGATGAGCTAGAGCTGACATTTTGAGTAGAGTGTATGATACCAAACCCCATTATATCACCTTCTAAGAATCCTGCTAAATAAGATATAGTCCCTACCCTCAAGGAGTTCACTGACCCTCATGCAAGCAAGTAACCATAATACTATATAGGAAGTACCATGCGATGACATGAGCGAACTACTGAGAAAAGGAGAGGGAGCGATTAGTTCTGATTAGGGTTGTCCAGGAAGACTCTTCTGGTTCGTGGCTTGCATTCCCAGGACTAACACTCAGTAGGCACTTAATAAATATTTGTTAAATGAACAAATCAGACAGAGTCAGGGAAGATTATTCTGGGCAGAAGGAAAAGCATGAGTGAAGTTAGGAGGCATGCAGGGACATGGCTCAAGACCTGTAACACAGATGGAGTTCTTGGGTGCTAAGGAGAAGGGGCAGAGGAGTAGCTTGGGCCAGATAAATACAAAACATAATGTCATGCTAGGGATTCAGTGAGCAACAAGAAGCTGCCATAGATCATTCAATTAGAGCTGAACTTTGGGTGTTAACTTCTGAATCAACGAGAAGGATAGGCTGAAGCTGGGAGAAGCTAGAGAGCAGAGTGTGGTAAAGAGAGGCCTAGTCTCGGGAGCCAGATGGCCCCCAGCCACCTTCCTATGTCCCCTACCTGTACTGCACAAGGAAAGTAGAGAGGCAGTAACGAGCTTAGAGGGATTTGTTTGCTGTTTTCTTTACTACTTTACGCATCAGGCATAATTTACATATGGTAAGATACATCCCCTTTAGATGTACAGTCTATAGGTTTTGACAGATTTACACAGTCTTGTAACCACCACCACAATCAAGACAGAGGACATTTCCATCATCAGCCAAAGTTCCTTCACACTTGTGTATTCGATCTCTTCCCCCCCTGACTCAGCCCCTAGTAACCACTGTTCTGATTTTGGTTGCTATAGCTTTGCCTTTTCAGAGTATTACATAGAATGATGCATTTTGTAGCCTTGTGTATGCTTCCTTTCACTTGACAGGATGTTTTTAGATTCATCCATGTTATTGCATGTGTAAGTGGATTGTTCATGTATGTTGAGTAGTAGTTCGTTGTATGAATATATCTGAAAAATTTAAGAACTGCATCCACCAGCTGATGGACATTTGGGTTGTTTCAAGCTTGGGATGATTATATGTAAAGCTGTTGTAAACATGCACACACAGGACTTTATGTGGACCTCTGTTTTCATTTCTCTAGGAGTGGGGTATCTAAGAGTGGGTTTTCTGACCATCTAGTGTGTGTATATACATTTTTTTTAAATAAGAAACTGCCAAACTGTTTTGCACAGAAAGTGTATCATCTTCTATTCCTACCAGCAAGGGATGAAAGTCCTCATGCTCCACATCCTTGTCAGCACTTAGCGTTGTCAGTTGATTAAAAAAATAAATAAAACTTTCTAATAGATGTGGAGTCCTATCATTATGACTTGCTTGCATTTTCCTAATGACTAATGATATTGAATATCTTATTTGCCATCCATCTATCTTCTTCAGTCAAATGCCTGTTTAAATCTTCTGCCTATTTATTTTCTTGTGCCTATTTGTTTTCTTATTATTCAGTTCTGAGAGTTCTTTATATACTCTAGATGTAAATCCTTTAGTGGTACGTGTTTTGCAATATTTTCTGCAAGGCTATGACTTGCCTTTTCATTTTCCTTACAGTTTGTTTTGAAGAACAGACATTCTTAATTTGTTTTTTTAAAAACATTTATTTATTTTAGAGAGAGAACACAAGCTGGGGAGGGGCAAAAGGAGAGAGTGGAAGACAGAACCTGAAGCACGTTCTGCGCTGTCAGCACGAGGCCTGATTCCAGACTAGTCTATTCCCTGCTTTTAACCAAGTCACCTTACTTTTTTGTTGTTGTTTTCATTTTTTTTAATGTTTATTTTTTAGAGAGAGAGAGAATGATAAGTAGCAGGAGAGGAGCAGAGAGAGAGGCACACACAGAATCCAAAGCAGACTCCAAGTTCTGAGCTGTCAGCCCAGATCCCCACACAGGGCTTGAACTCATGAACTGTGAGATCATGACAGTTGGATGCTTAATCGACTAAATCACCCAGGCGCCCCTCTTAATTTCTAGAAAGTCTAATTTATCATTTTTTTTTATGATTTGGCTTTTTGCTTCTAATCTAAGATATCTTTCCCTAATCTAAGGTCACAAGTTTCTTCTAAAAGTTTTAATGTTTCAGATCTTAAATCTATGCCCATTATCCAGTTGGAGTTAATTTTTACACATGGTATGAAGAATGGTTCAAGGTTCACTTTTTACTTATAAATATCCATTTGACTAGTAGGAGTTTTATAAGAACAAAATAACCTAAGGTATGCTAAATACCTGGTGCAATCAATACTAACTCAGTATTAGTCTTTTTTTTTTTCCTCCAGATAATTATTCCCCACCATCTCCCTGCCTCTTCCAAGCAAGACTAGGGAGATGACTCTATCTACCATCTGGAGTTAGTCTGTACATTCCCATCAGGACTGCCTCTTATAAAGTTTAGAGGCCCCATATAATATTTAATTTATTTAAAAAAAATGGTAGGAGATGGTAGCACTTCCCTCCCTTATTATGAAGATCAGGCCCTAAAACATCAAACTAAAATGCTTGCCAAACTCTCTTTATAGATACCCAAGAGGAAGAATCCCTGAGCTATTCAGTTTTACTATTCAAAATATAAAGATTGCTACACACTATCTGTGTTTACAGAAATGCCTCTTTTCTTTTCAATTCAAAAATTTATGAAGACCTTTTGAATTTACTTAGGGACTAACCTTTTCCAAATCTATCCACTTGCAACGTGGTTGTCACATACCCTCTTTCACCAAGCAAAATTTCTGGAGCCGAATCTTTAAAGTCTGACCCTTAGCTGGAAAGAGAGATCTCACTTCTAAGAATTCATAAAGTGTTCATAAAAGGACACAATGCTATCTCTAGGAAATGCCACATTGTGTTTTCTCTAATTTGGGCACTCCTCACTGATGAGATAGCCAAGGAAAATCATAGAAGGCAACAGCTTACACAGAGGGAAGGTCAATGCTTTTAATGCCAAATTCTTCCATTGTCCACAGATGTGAACTGGGGCTCCTCCACACAGGCTCTTTCTTATGTGAGCGCATTAGACAATGCCCTGGAATTAACGACTGTGGAAGACCATGTGAAAAATTTCAGGTAAAGTTAACCTCTCAGGCATCTTGGCATTGCTCTACATTAGAAGTGGTTTTCCTTTATGGGAAACAAATGCACTAGAGTAGTGATACACTTTATGGGTATATTCTCAGAATAGGCAGTCCTACAAAACTGCCTCATTTTCATGACAACACCTCTATGAATGAGTGTTTCTTCTCTTCCACCCTGAGCGATGCCCACTCTCAACTATAAACCATCATAATGCCAGGTGTCACCTTCCATGCACAGAAATAGAGAGGTGATCCAAGAGTGTGATTTTAGAGAGATGTTCCCAAATCCCCCAAAACCTTAATCATTGGTGCTGTCTTCGTTCAGCTTAAGGCTTTGTGGCTTACTGTATTCTCTTAGGAAAAGTAACATTTTATTTATTTTTATTTATTTTTTTTAAATTTTTTTTCAACGTTTATTTATTTTTGGGACAGAGAGAGACAGAGCATGAACGGGGGAGGGGCAGAGAGAGAGGGAGACACAGAATCGGAAACAGGCTCCAGGCTCTGAGCCATCAGCCCAGAGCCTGACGCGGGGCTCGAACTCACGGACCGCGAGATCGCGACCTGGCTGAAGTCGGACGCTTAACTGACTGCGCCACCCAGGCGCCCCGAAAAGTAACATTTTAAACTCTTCATTAGTTATATCTTATTTTGAATGGAACCTGAAAAAAAATGAGCTTTGCAAGGAAGATGAAGGAAAGCAGCATGAAAAGGCCAGCTGGAGAGTAAGAGGTCACGTTGGGGATTTAGGATAGGGTAGTATCTGGAGGGAAGAAAACAGGGGTAAACCCAAGACCACCTTTTTTGTATTTCACATTTTGCCATGACTAATGAACTAAGAATACAGAGATGGCAAGATGAACAGGTAGGATGATTCAAGAATTCTGATGAGAAACCCAAGAACTATTTAGGGGAGAAGTTATCCCATTTGCCAAACACTCTGTTCCTGCCATTTCCATCAGGGTTGTTCTGGTTCATAGGCTTCTTGAAACGGCCAGTTTCACATCTTCTTTTCTCCATGTCCAGGCCCCAGTGCATTGTCTTAACAGGGGGACCGATGACAAGACCTGCTCTCTTGGACATTACTCATGCCTTTACCAAGAACAGTGGCCTTTGCATCTGCTGCGAAGTCTTTGTGGTAAGAGCCACTTCATCCCAGGAAGGTGCTTTCCCTCCCTGCTCACCTTGTGTTGTTTTAGGCGAGCCAAGTGCGCACAGGCAGTGATAAGAAAATGGCAAGGCAGTTTGGACAGGGGCCCTTTTCCCTGATTCATAGAGCAAGGACTAGCAAAGGCCGTGATACTGAATTTAAATAAGTAGATAAAAAATGTTTCAGATTTCATGGGAGACCAACTAAAAGTGATAAATATTTCCAAATGATGGCCTTTGAGACAAGAAAAAGAGAACTGGCTCAGAAATAGAATGAAGGCATTTGGGGTGGTAACTGTCCACAGAAATATAAAAGCACGGAATGAGCCAGAGAGTACTATTATATAGATTAACTGATGAGGAGAAAACCAGACATAATGTCCTGAAATGACAGCACATAGAATTTAGATTAAATATTTGGATAAAATTGATGACACTACAGATATCTAGGGAATTAAACCAAGTTTCCCATGCCTTAGATAAACATTTGGAGCTGAATGGATTCCTTTTTTTTAGGAAGTGTGTAGAGACTAATGATAACTTATTGATGGTTTTCCCAGGAGGTATTAAAAGTAGATGCTAAGAATTTAACCATGATTCTTGACCAGTTACCAATCTCTAAAGTGAGGAGAAAGCATGAAAATTCTAATAAAATAGTAAGTCTAAGTCCTCCAAATCAGCCTATCTCTACTTGTGTTCCCATAACAATCTCACACCTTCTACCCTCATCTCTACCTCAAACTCTGTCTCTGTCTCTCTCTCTCTCTCATACACATACACACAACTCAAAATTCTTAGCTCCTTCAATGTATTTTTATAGTAACTATCAATTCTTTGAAGCTTTTTCCTAGTTTTTCTTATTTGAGGTATATAACAGCCTAGTGAGGTGGGAAGGAAAAAAGAATGCCTTCTTTCGTTTTATTGGTTGGAAAAGTGAGATGCAAGAAAATTGAATTATTGCATAGGGTCACATGATAAGAAAGCGGCGGAACCAGGATGTCAGTCCAGGCCACTGGATTGTGCTCTGCGTTACCCCATGAGGAGAAAGCCTTAGCAGACTTGTGTCCTTGGGAGTGCTGATAGAATCAGGTACCACTACCCAAACTTCCAGTACTTGTCAGGAATAGGGCTGTCAGTAAGCCGTGTAACTCATGGCCAGTCAGCTGTGCCATGATGCAGGGACAAAATTTACCGCACATCATCATGACCAGCACTTAGGCATCTTTTTATACTTGGCAGTACTCTAATACTTGCTGTATGAAGCAAGTTGGTCACATTCTCCTTCCTTTAAGTGCTCATATGCTAGTAACAGAGACAATAGAACTCAATGCAATTATCCAGAAGGGGAGTAGAAGGCACCCTACCAACTACATAAGATTGACAGGTTAAGTAATGACCAACTGTGACTCCAGAGCATTTTTAAAAATCTTATCAAGCACCCTTCTCTCATATTATCAACTTTTGTGCCCTGGATTACTGAATTTCATTTTGGTCAATATAATACAAGAGCTGGTTTTGATGGAATAAGCAGTTTGGGGTGTTTTTCTTCTCCAGCAGTTTAGAGAAAACTTAGTTTAGCAGGCAATAAAAAATCTTTAGGACAGAAGAAATGAACTGAGAGTATGAACAGTCCTATATTGGCAAGGGAGAAAAGGTCTTCTAATAGAGACAAGAGATATTGCTTTTAATTAACCCTTTGCTGCTTTCACTCTAATAAAAGAGCGTGATTGTGGAGTATCACGTGAAGTAAGCATCCTTGTCTGTGCCTCCAATAGCCCTGTTGTCTGACAGGTATATTGGACCACATTATATATCATTGTGCTGGTCTCTCTGAGTAAGGCCCATGAGTCATACTCCCAGGTCCTGAGGTTCTCTCAGGGACAGGAAATAGTTACTGCTTCAGTTAATGACTTTCCAGTTAGTTACTCTCTGTGAGCTCCTGGGGCTGCAGATGCTGTCAGCATTTTTCAACTCTAGACTTAGTCGTCAATCATCTTTGCAAAGAAACAGATGGAAAGTGACATGGGGGGAGGTCAGCATACCACTAGAAAACTTTTTCCGAAAGCACAGTTATTGGTGGTTAGGCCAACCTATGGGAAAGGTCAAATAAGAAAAGATAATGTTGAGAGGTGACAATGTAGTTTTTAACTCTGGGAAGCTGGTGCTCATGGGCTTTTGAGACATATGGTCAAATTCTGAATCACTCTTTGCCACCTGTTAGCTGTGAGTCCCTTAGGTACATAATTTAGTCTTACAGTGCCTCGATGCTCTTTCTTTTTTTAGAAAATGGGAAGAATAATAACAACATTAGCACCTATGTTACAAAGCTATTGTGAGAATTCTATCAGATGATCTTTCCAGTGCCAGCTCAGCATCTATCAAACAGTAAATGATCACTTAATTGTAGTTGTTACTGTTGGTATTGTTATTTTCATCATCATTATTTTTGGTATACCATAGTTGACATTTCATTCCAAAAATCTATCCCTTTCAACAAAACTGGAAGCATCCTTTCTTAAGGAAACCAGACCCAGACACTGGATTTTTGGACTTTTTTAGGTACCCAACATGATCATGATAGAACAGTAAGATACGTATTCCTGCCAACTAATCATAGGATAGCTGGCTTTGTGCTCCAACCCTCTGCTGGCCTCCAGTTATTTAAGAGCTAACTTGAAGTGTGGTGACACTACAAGGAAGGAGCAAGACTCAGAGCTCAGTGGTATTTCAATGCTGGTGGGTCGATGGAAAGTGTGTGGCCCAGCTGCCATTTTCTACAACAGAGACATTTTAAATTTTTTAATGTTTATTTATTTTTGAGAGAGAGAGACAGAGTGTGAGTTGGGGGTGGTGCAGAGAGAGAGGGAGACACATAATCCGAAGCAGCTCCAGGCTCTGAGCTGTCAGCACAGAGCCAGACGCCGGGCTTGAACTCATGAACTGTGAGATCATGACCTGAGCCGAAGTTGGACGCTTAACCAAAACTGAGCCACCCACGTGCCCCTACAACAGAGACATTTTTAAAGGACTAGACATCATAGCCCTCAAAGCTGCTGAATTGAATTGAAAGAGTTATTCTTTTGGCTGAACCCCAAGCCCCCACTGTATCCTTCCAAATATTCAACTAACTCTTACACTCATCCACCAGAGCCTCTTTTTCCTTCTTGCTTCTTTGCTAGAAGCCTTAAGATTTCAGAGGTACCTTCATCAAGACAAATATGGGCATCTCTTTTAAGGAATCCAGCTTGGTAACTTAAAATGCTGGCTATTCTTCTCCTTTGAATTACCACACGATAAATCATTGATATACTTATATCCCAGGAGGCTTTATATTGAACAAAAGTAGGGGCACCTGAATGGCTCAGTTGGTTAAGCGTTTGGACTTCGGTTCGGGTCACGATCTCACGGTTCATGGGTTCGAGCCCCCCGCATTGGGCTCTGTGCTGACAGCTCAGAGCCTGGAGCCTGCTTCGGATTCTGTGTCTCCCTCTCTCTCTGTCCCTCCCCCGCTCACGTTCTGTCTCTGTCTCTTTCTCTCTCAAAAATATAAAACATTGAAAAGAAAATGGGAACAAAAGTAATTTTCTTCTTCTGTGCTTCATTCTTATCACCATAGAAAGATCAGAGGGAGTAGGACTCCACCTTCTAGTATCTTCTCATATTGTCAAGCGTAGTCTAATTCAGGGGTTCAGCCACAAGCAAGCATTAAGTCAGGGGTTGCAATCTCCACCAATTCTACCCTCTTTTCCCAACATAAAAACACATTGCCTTTCTTTGTCAATTAGTCTCCTCACTTACCTCATTCACAGGAGTTAGAGCGATAATAAAATCAATCATTACAATAACTTAGTTTGGGTTTATGTACCCTTAGTTCTCTGGGTATACCTTGCTCAGTTGGTGCCATCTCACATTTACTTTCCCCGTGCGAGAAGACATCGTGCATGCTGCAACAGTCACTCACTCACATACTTCTCAGCTTTAGTTGAAAGGCAGGGTAATTTTTATGAAAACAAATCAAAGACAAATATACTTTAAAGATGGAAACTTGATCCAATTGATCTGGGATTTAGAATGCAAATCAGATAAAGCCTTTATTGCCCCCCAAATGCAATACTTAGCTCTTTTCTAAATTTTGTTTGTCTTAAAATTGCAAAAGACTTTCAAGTGTACGGTGGCATCTTTTATTAAGTACATTGTGCTGTTCTGGTGGCTGAAAAATAAAGTTTTTTTAGATTGTTTTTATTTTTTATTTTGAAACATTAAGAAAAATATTAGGTCGAAGCATATGAAATTTACATTTTTGTCGAATGTAAAACTGTTGGATACAGGCAATTTCATATGATTAGACTATATAAAATAAAATGACACCCATATCCTACTTCTTTTAATTAATGACTGTTAACATTTTTGTCATAAATGTTCCTACTCACTTTTAAAATGAAATAAACCACAGCTCAAGCTGAAGTCCTTGTTAAAACCACTTAGCACATGGCTCTCCCCCTCTCCAAAGGCAATGTTACCTGAGGTTTGTTGGCATTCTTCTACTCATTTCACATAAGTGTGCCAAGATGTAGATCTATTTTGATTAATGTTTGCCTACTCTTTCACATTCCTTAAACCTTGATTGTCCTGCTCTCCTCTCATGGTAAAGGACATGACAGATAGCTTTTGACCAGCTTCCTTACGTAGATCCCCTTTTAACAGAATTTCACCCTTACTGTTTTCCTTTCTCTCTTTTTTTTTCTTAAAATTTAGAAAACATCTTAATAAAACCTAAAGCTCTATTTGAATTCAAAGACACTCTTCAGAAAACTCAGGGAACACAACCAACTCCTAACTCTGGCAAAGCAGAGGGCAGTTCAATCACAGATGAACCAGAGGAAACTAAAGTTTTCATTTTTTCTTCTATCTTCAACCTCTTCGTCTCAATGTTCACAACCACCAAGTTGATGCATTTTTATAGACGCATCTATTATTCTTTAGTCATCGAGGCTCTGTCATGACGTTCATAAGAGAGTGACATGGCACAATGCAGGAAAAATGAAATGACCTGAGAATGGGCGCTAGGCACATGGTGAGATGAAATATGGACCAAATCAGAAAGGAAAAATTCCCTTTCCCACACTTCCAACCAAAGCGGCAATGAAAGCAAAGACAGAGCAGTAAGACTCTCAGTGTCTTGAAAAATGAAAGTTGGAAAGAACGTTGCTTTTGGCCCAAATTTCTCTATTTGATCTAATGATGTTGGAACTCATTCGCAAATTCTTTTCGTAATATTCATTTATTTGAGGTAGCATCCCATCAACTACTTCTCCAGACTAAATAATTAGAATTTCTTTACCCTTTTCTCAATCAATGTCAAAGTTATAATACGTACAAGACTTTTAGGGCTTCTTTGTTCAAATCCTGAATTAATTTATGCATTCATATTTTGGATCCTAACTGAGCTAATCTCTATAATATTTTAATTGAGTGGCAAAATCCATTTTTGTGACTATGACATATTTGAATGTTGAGAGTAATTATGTTCCAGTATGTGTTCCCTCTTTGTTAGCTTATTTTTCCTTACTACATTTGTATTGCAGCCTTGCCTCACATTAGTAAGTGTGCTACAATGATACTATAATCGCTTTTAGCAAAGAGAGATTCTGTCTGAAATATTTTTATGACTTCTCAATATGGCAAATTTAGGCATTAAAGTACATCTTTCTGTCACAATTAATGCTTAATCTGGTTTTTTATAACAATAATAGACATACATTAGACTGCATTTGTTTAAATCAATGCCACTTTCCCCAGGGGGGCACAGTCATTGTGGTACAACTCAATATACTGATGGCCCAATACCTTTTCTAGCTGTTGGTTATTCTTCTGTCACATGGATACTGTTACCATTGAGCCTCCCTGAAAAAATATCTCTTCTTTCTTTGCAGCTGATGGAGTCTAGAGTGCCCAAAGAGAACTAATGGTTCAAAATGCATGGACATTCTAGAACCCTAAGCAGAATTTTATCCATAATGGCATATCTTTCTTTAGTTTAGGTCTTCTGGCTTAATAACTGTCCTCCTTGTATCTTTACTTACCCATCATCTTTGAAGGGTCTTGTTTTGTAACTTTAATGTAAGCCCCCCAAACTGTTTTAAAAAGTTTTTGACAAGTCTTCTGAAAAGCTGGCAAGTTCTAGAAAAAATACTAAAATTAGTACATAATGAATCTGATCCATTTCAAATAGAATATTAAAATGGAAGTGACCAAAGATTGTCTAGTATTGCATAATAGAAACATAATATGTAACTTAAAATTTTCTAGCAGCCATCAAAAAAGTAAAAGGAGACAAGAAAAGTTAAGTTTAATACATTTTATTTAATGTAATGCATCCTAAATATTATTTCAATATGCACAATATACAAAATATTAATGAGATATTTTGCATTCTTTTTTTCCATCCTAAGGCTTCAAAATCTAGTGTGTATTTTACATTTTCAGCACATCTCAGTGTGGAGCAGACACATTGCAAATGCTCAACAGCGAATGGATAAGGGCTATCATACTGGACAGTGATGAACTAGACAATTCCCTTATTTTTAAAATGTAGAACCCACACCAAGAAAAGGCACATGACATGCCAGGGTATCAGCCAGCCAGTGCCAGAGCCAGCTCTGGCTCCCAATTCAAAACTCTGTCATAGAACAAACACAGTGGTAGAAATAGGTCTGGGGCTCCAACATGATTGTGAAAACTCATTTAAAATCATCCAACTTTGAATGAGCACCTACTATATTCCAGACATCAGACTGGGCACTTTATCATTACTGCTCAAAACAACCCTGCAGGCTAGAGGTTTTATCCCTGTTTTCAGAAAATTATAGCAACGCTCAGAAATAATTAACTTCTTCCAAACGGCCAATTTTAGATTTGAAACCACTTCTGCAGACCACAAATCCTGGTATCTTTTTCATACATCCCAAGCCCTTTCTCTCTAGTGAAAGACCCTCTAAGACTGTGACTCCAAGCATGGCCTGGGGGTTTGTTAGAAATGCAGAATCTTAAGCCTCATTCCAGACCTACACATTGCATTTCGTCAAGATCCTAGGTAGCTTGTAAGAGATCTAAGACAATTCAACAACATACCTAATCTGTTCATGAGTTGGAAGAATTTCCTAGGAAAATAGATTCATATCCTATCAGGCACATTATAGATCATCAGAAACACTTTTAGGGGTGATTTGAAACTTGCAAAGAAAAGACTTGGCTTGGACCTGTAAGGAAGGAGAAAAAGAATCAAATTTTTAGTTGAAATGAATTTCCAGAACTCAAATCTTAAAGTTATAAAATGTTTCATCTACCACCACGATACCTACCTTCTTCTCTATTAAGCTCCCGTATTCTTCCTATGCCACAGGTATATGAACTTCTGTTCCCATGAAATTCATTGAGTGAGAGGGAAATCTTAATTTATTTGGATCGGGGTAGGTCAACATTACACAAGGAAAGTGGCAACCCACCATGTTCTGACTGCCAAGATCTCTGCCCATTTCTTCAAATTGGGGTCTAGCTGAGATTTCCTTAGTGTTCTTAAACATACCTCTTGCTACTGAGTCAAAGGTTGATTGTGTATTTATCCTGAATTTCTTCATTCGCATTTTCAGTATTTTCCTCCTGTGCCGTGATGGCCTCAGCTCTTTCTTTCATTGGCATGAGGCAGTTAATTAAACAGGTGTTAACGCATCTGGACATTCTGGGTGGAAAGTGAATGATGGGAGCAGCAGAGGCCTGCTCCAAAAGGTTGAGTCTACGTGAACCCTGTTTAGTGAGGTGTTTTTCCCTCTTTCCCACTTCTTAACTCGATGGGGCATTGCTGGCTATTTTTGTCCTTTAGAAAACAACAGCAGCGCAATGGATAATAGCAGGGCTTCTAACCAATATTTCATCGTGTCGTACAGGGACCGCGCAAGCTGTGTGTTAAAGAGATGAACAGCGGCATGGCAAAAAAGCAGGCCTGGCTTATCAAGAACAAAATCAAGGCTTTTTATGCTGCAGTGGCAGCAGACTGTTTCAGAGATGGTGTCCGAAGTCTCCTTCAGGTAAGGCTGACACTGAGGGAATGAGTACGGAGGCAAAAGACAATTAGCACTCCCTATTAATGAGGCTCCCAAAGTGAATGGCTCCCGTTAGGCAGCCCAGCATCAGAGATCAATGCAGATGGTTAAGGAACTCATTTCGAATTCCTGAGGAGAGGCAAAACTAAAACAAAAGCAGAGAGGTTCTATTACAATGAACTATGGATGATATGCTGGAAATGGGAAATGAGGTTGCCTTTGGCCACCAGCATACATTCTGTCCCCACGCTTATTGAAATGCAAATTTGTTCTGATGGTTGACGACATTCAGGATCCTATTAAAACTTCAAACTATTTTTGCATCTCATACTGCATATAGCAATACTCAAGTCAGGCATTCTGCACCTTTTTTCTTCTGTGAATGGCGCGAGGGCAAGCTGCTAGATTCGACTAAATAAATGCATGGTGATCTGGGCGTAAAAATCTCCCTATCCTCCTAAATTATTTCCAGAATGTTGAATAAAATGTAATAATCTCTGTGGCTCAACACGGAAGCCCTTGGTTCTCTTATCTTTTTCTCCCTTATTCTTTCCTTTTTTTCTCCCCTTCCACAATTAGTACACAGAGTCTTTCCCCAGTTCCGATCATAATAGAATGGTGAACCATTCTTCAAACAATCCAAGAGACCCCAAGAAACTGTAGGGCTTGGCTTTCTAATCATTCTGGCTTTAATATGGTTGGAAAGCCCTGATTCTATATGTACTGAATGATGTATTTGCTTTCAGAGTTACCGTTTACAGGAATGACAAAATTCAGGATGACGTCCAGGTGACACTGATGCTTATGCAGTCAGGAGAGAAAAAATAAACTGTACTACTTTGGAGATTAAGAGTATTTGGTATATTTCTGTCTCTTATATTCCTGAAGAACTCTTGCAAAGTAGCTGCACACAGAAGCCATTTCTGAAAGACCTATTACCCCCAATGAGCATCCTTTCACCTGTTACTAATTTGCCAAACCATGGAAATAGGTGTCATTTTAAGAAGCTGATTGTCTTTAGTGAGTTACTTTTCAGGAGCCCTGTGGTGAAATATGTTGGGAAGGTTACACATTTAAGGTAAAATTATCTTGGAAGATTGGTGAAATAATAAAATTTTCAATAAGGAATGGGTGGTCTGACATGAAATAAGCAGGGAGAGAAAAGACACAGGTCTGGAAAGTAAGTCTTATATTAATACAGAAGAAACCATAAAACATTCGACAATGCAGAACGCTTGTTCACTTGAATTTCCTTAAAGAAAAGTGGGGTACAAAGGGAAAGACAGGGTGGTATTAAAGGGAAGCACTGACCATTATGACCATCCATTTTGGATGAAGACTTCTTTGCTTCTAAGAATTTATGGTACAAATGACCACATCCCCAAACTGTAGTCACAGAAAAGACAAGCTCCATCCTGCCGTGTATCTGCTGAGCACCAAACGATGGCTGTAAGGAGTTATCTTGCCACCTGGACATTTCTAGGAGAAACACAACAGATGTAGAGGCAAAGTTTATTTCAGGAACCCTCCATCAATGCCTGCTTCCTCCTGCTCACCACTGTCCCCTTTAATGTGTTCTGCTCTGGCCATTGGTTTCACTCCTCCTGTGACCCAGAGTGTTCTTCCTTCACTCCCACTGCTCTCTTTTCCATGCTTGTCAACCTCTAACTGACCTGCAAGATCTGGAATGAATGGCACCTTTCCCCTGAAGCCATCCATGAAGACACAGCTAGAATTCAGGTTTTCTTCCCTTATGCTTCCATATGAGTTCCTACTGCATGTGCACTTGAATTATAATTATTTGTGTGTATCTTGCCTTCTTCACCTTATTCCAAGCTCCTTAAGGCTAAAGAATATGCTTCACTGCTCTTCTACAGCACCTGACATAACACTTTGTAATTAATAGGTATTCAATACTATTGCCAAATTAAGTTTAATTAACTGGAAGCCATATCCTGTCATCTAAGGGGGGGGGGGGGAGTGAAACCTGATATGGAAGATGGCTATTAATGATACTATCAGGTAAGAAGCTTAGGTCCTAGAGACATAGCGCCATTACCCTTCGATAAATAATACAAGTACGAGTTTCAGTGATCCTTGTATCTTAGAATTTTCCAAACATGGATTTTATTGCTAATGACATTATGGGTAAAACAGGTGGAAATGAGCTTTGAACCACTAAGTTACAACACGCATGCCAACAGTTAAGCCGACCCTCACTTGATTTTAAATTATTGAACCATTTTAATGAGTGTGTCAGAAGAAATGCAAATGACTGCTAATTTAGAAAAGCTACACTTCTGTCATCTAAAATCCATTTATGGCTGAGATGATTTAGAACTAATCTTTCTATTTTATGCTTGGGTACGGGCATGAAGGACATGCTCTAAAATGTAATCTAATCTTCAGAATCTTCAGAACATTACTTCAGTGCTCTTTTGGACATTATTTTTCATTTGCAGTGGTAGTTTCCTGGTCTGGAAAGGATTGCCCATGTGTTTATCTCCTCTGTTTAGGCCTCGGGCTTAGGAAGAATGAAACCCAACACTCTGGTGATCGGATATAAAAAAAACTGGAGGAAAGCTCCCTTGACAGAGATTGAGAACTATGTGGGAATCATACAGTAAGTGATGGCTTTCAGGACGTGTTCTTGTTTACAAACCACTAACCAGGGCACTACATAACAGGTGCTGTTGTACCAGACTAAATTGCCTGAGAAGAAGACATTCCCCTGGTACTCTGAATTCTTTACCAAAGTGCAAGAAACACTGCCAATAATAGAACTTGAGGAAGCAGGGTGGTGTCAGAGGAAGCAGGGTGGAGGAAACTTGGTGTCAAAGAAAAAGGTAATTATTAAGATTTGCAGTCTTAAAACCTATTCATAAGATTAAAAGCAAAGGACAGCTAGGTAAGGAAGGAAGTGTTCTTTCAAAACACCTGGAATCTTGGATTGGCTGGTGTGCCCAATTCAGTCATCGTCTCCTCTGAGCCCTGGATAAGGAGTTTACTACCCCTGAGCCTCAGATGCCTCTTTGCTGATATGAGGCTTTCATATATCAGTGTCTCTGGGTTGGTTTAAGGACAAAAAGTGAGTTTTAAATGGGACATGACATCTAATATCTATATATTGGAAAAGTCTTGGGACAAGGGTCGTAATGATAGCCTTTAAGAGACTAGCAGGCACCAGGCTAATGTCCTTCACACAAATTATCCCATTTAATTCCCACAAGAAGACTTTGAAGTAAGTGCTAATACTGTTCCCATTTTATAAGGAGAGATGCAGACATTAAAAATTAAGTAACATGCAGAAAATGACAGTTGTGACATAGCTGGAATTCCAACCCAGGACTATCCAAATTCAAAGTTTAAGCTCATGACCAAAATGCTAGGCTGCCTCCAATAGTACATGTATAGCGAAAGTATTACCTGGCTTGGTTCTTTCTTTTGCATAAGTGAAAATGAAGTCTACACATATGGAAAGGCTCAGAGTACCCTTAGTGACCATTCTAGAAAACTGAGCCTTTCTTCCCGTCTTGAAAATATTTAGCCATATTTGTCTAGGGGGGCAATGTTAGCTGTGCTAACAGCTATCTTTTGTCAAAAGCTCTGAAAATGGAATATTTCCCATCTGGCGTCTGGCTTTGCTCTGATTCCATACAACAGGGTAGGGAATGTGCCCTGAGAAGTCTGGCTGAACTTTAAAAGTCTGTAATACACAGGAAAGAAACCCTCACCTCTTCAACACAAGCACATGTATTCACAGTGCTTCTTATACCAGGCTATGTCCTGGCCCCTGCTGGAATGAGCATTGTATTTATCATTGTTTGGGAGAGATTTAAGGAACATTATAAAAGCACTCTAGTTTTAGTGTATTGAAAAGAAGTATAAAAAAATAATTTTCATCATCTGAAATTTGTATGCGTTTACTGACCAAACACATTCACTTAACAATCCTTCTAACATGGGGAACTTGTGTACTAAATGCGTTCTCCTGAATTGTGTTTCCCGAAGGTATAAAGTCTGGATGCCAAATGCTGCCACTTGGCCCCTGGTGATACCCTAAGTTCAGTATGTTAAGGCTAAAGCAGGTGATGAGGGTAGAATTTTACCATGTTCACCAACCAGCATTTTGATATATTCAGAAACAGTCAGTTGCTGACCATTCTTGGAAATAGATTAGAGCTGCTCTCTGTTATCCAGATACTAAAATAAAATTTCATCTTTACCACTGGGAAAAAAAAGGGGGACAGAGAGGAAAGAAATTTCATCTTCATCTTTGGGGGAAAAAAGTATTGAAACAAATAAGACATATGTAAACCGTCAGTCATTTAGTATCCATTAATTGATACAAAATTATCTGGGGTCATCTTCCAATGTGCCCACCTTTGAAACATTCTAGAAATCTAAAGGGACCAAAATAATCAAACCCAATAATATTAGGCCAAGGAGACTTCTGGATTTTATACCAAATTGGTCTTATTGGTAGTAAAGTTCAGTGTTAAGGTGGCTCAAATTTATACTAGTATAAAACTTAGCTGGCTTAGTAAGGCTAAATGACCTTACTACCACAGCAGTGAGGTCAATATAGAAGGGAAGACCATCATACCTCCATACTGTATTATATTTCCCTTTCTAACTATTTTGATTGGTTTTGTGAGTAAGAGTAAAGCATAGTATTACTGTTAACATGGGGGCATTATTACAATAATATAGAATTTTATAATTTTTCTTTAGATAAAAGATTTTAAATGTTTATAATATTCTTAGGTATGGCTTAATTTTAATTTGAATCTGTATTAGTTTTCATTGGCTGCCATAAAAAATTGCCTCAAGCTTAGTGGCTTAAAACAACACAAATTTAATAGCCTACAGATGTGTGAGTTAAAAGTCTGACACTAATTCACTGGGCTAAAATCGAGGTGTAGGCTAGGCTATATTCCCTTCTGGAAGCTTTAGGAGAGATTCCCCAGCCTTGCCCTTTCTAGGTTCTAGAGCAGTCCTGCTCATGGCCTTCTTCCTCCATCTTCAAAGCTCTTGATGGGTCATACCACATTGCCCTCACCTCCTCTTCTGCTTCCCAAATGCACTTTAAGGACCCTGGTGATTACACTGGACCCTCCTAGATAATCTAGGTTAATCTCATCTCAAGGTCTGTAAGCTAATCACATCCATAAAGTCCCTTTTGCGGCATAAAGTAACATATTCACAGGTTCCAGGGATTAGAATGTGGATGTCTTTGGGAAGTCTAAAATTATTCTTCCTAGCACAGAACCCAAATATTTTTTGTGGAACACATTGTCTCCTTTTTACAATCAAGGACAATTAGAAACAAGACTTATCAGGAATTTATTTTGTGGCGACTTTTGCTAGGTCTATGTTGCTAAGTGAAGATCACTTCTGGATTGAATTTTGAATGGATATTCATATTACACTGAGTTTATTCATATCATTATTTGAAAATTCAGGTTCACTTTGGCTATTAGAAACCTGTTTGCCTATATAAGACAATCACAAACTGCATGATTTCTGGTAGAGGGTGACCTTCTATGGAAAGGGTCCTAGGCTTCCGATCCATTTGAGACTGAACAAAGGAACCCCTAAGGAGAAAATTTTTAATGAACTCAAAGTAGTAATTGGTTTGCCCCATATTTAGGAGCAGAGAAAAAAAAAATATTCTACAAGAACAGAGATAAAAGAAAGAGAGCCTTTCTTTTCCTTCTAGAAAATCTAATTCTATTGGATTGAGTGTAGAGAAGGCACAACAGCCAACGACATTGGGTTGTTATGAAAAAGCATCGTTTCAAACAGTCTGCCCAAAGTCAATGGTGAAAGTTCCTTAAAGGAACTGGAGATATTTTTAACTGGGAACTTGATGTCAGAAATGTTGTAGGATTCTTTCTCCATAAGTAGGGATTTGGCTGATAATTTCAAAGGGTCTTTGCAGCCTAGAAACTCTCTGTTCTAAATATTTCAGTGATTGTTTTGCTTACATTAGAAATGAAACAATTATTTTAAAAGCATGTAACAAGCTCTTAATCAAAATTCTAGGTGACAGTATTATTTGAATAAATTGGTTCCAGAGTAAATGAATCAGTTACCTTTATCCAGAATACATTTTTAAAAGGCATAAAGGGAGAAAAACTAACTAACAAAAGGCATCAGCTCTTGGCTGTATTCTCAAGTGAATTTTCATAGTTTAGTTATGTTAAAATCTTAGAATTGAGAATCTTAGACTCTCTTACTATTAGTACAAAACCTCAAGATTAAAGGGGTCATTTAAATAACCACTTTGCTTTCACTTTCAGTGATGCATTTGATTTTGAGATTGGTGTGGTCATAGTCAGAATCAGCCAAGGGTTTGACATCTCTCAGGTTCTTCAAGTGCAAGGTATGTACTTTCTTTATTCAAGCCACATATATTTATTGAGCACCTACTCCATGCCTGGTATTTTTCTAGGTGCTGGGGATAGAGCAGTGCACAATACAGACAAAACCCCCTAATGATAGAGCTTATGTTCTTGTGCTGACCTGAGGTGTATACACTTCCCCAGTGTTTTCTCCATTGCTAACACAAACCGCCTTTGTCCTGCAAAATAAAATATGGAATAATCCAGGGCAGTCATAAATTATTATTCTTATCACAAAACTACAAAGCCAGCATCACTGAAAATAAACACCTTTGGTAAAATAAACTGCTGAATTAATTTCTGCAAGATGTTTGAGAAAATAGAGATTAATTCTTTCCTCAAAAAACCATGTATTTTGTTTTTAAGAGTCTATGATCTGGTTTTCAGCCAACATGGAAATGAGCCTGAATGTATCATGCTGTGAATCACTAATCTAAGTCCGAGGCCGAAACACTAATTCAGATTAGTAACTCTGCTTTTTTCCCTTTAGAGGATTACTTGTTTGTTTGTTTTTTTAATTTTTTTTAAAGTTTATTTATTTTTGAGAGAGACACAGTGTGAGTAAGGGAGTAGTAGAGAGAGAGGGAGACACAGAATCCAAAGTAGGCTCCAGGCCCTGAACTGTCTGTCAGCACAGAGCCCAATGTGGGGCTCGAACTCAAGAACCACGAGATCATGACCTGATGTGAAGTCGGATGCTCAAATGCCTGAACCACTCAGGCGCCCCAGTATACTTGTTTAATCTTAAGAGGTTAAACATACCCTCTTCTGTTTAAACTTAGTTTTTTGTGGGGCGCCTGGGTGGCGCAGTCGGTTAAGCGTCCGACTTCAGCCAGGTCACGATCTCGCGGTCCGTGAGTTCGAGCCCCGTGTCGGGCTCTGGGCTGATGGCTCGGAGCCTGGAGCCTGTTTCCGATTCTGTGTCTCCCTCTCTCTCTGCCCCTCCCCCGTTCATGCTCTGTCTCTCTCTGTCCCAAAAATAAACATTGAAAAAAAAAATTTATAAAAAAAAACTTAGTTTTTTGTTATAACTTATGTTTAAACTTACGAATGAGATAAAGGACACATCTAAATAGTCATTGAAATATTAGGACAGGGAACTAATTCATGACTTATCTCTTCAGATGAACTTGAAAATAGAGTCCCCTGATGACCAACACTAAAACAAAGAGATACTTTTTGGGTGTCTCTTGTGTACCAGACATGGTGTAAATGATGGTGCTGGGTAGACCAAAACTAATTAGTGTGCTAGTAAGTATATTTGTAGAGTATAATGGAGAAGAGAGAGGGACATCTTACTCCAAGAGGTCTTTCTGAGGGAAGTTACTTTAGATTTGATATCTAGTGGATGAGTAGAGTTAACTAGGCAATGTTGGGCGAAAGAGAAATGAGTTTGGGAAACAGCATTCCTGACAAAGACCAGAGCATCAAGCAAAGGTGTGAATACACAGGATTATGGAAGGATGGGGTATATGGGCTACCCAGAGCAGATTCAGGTCACTGAAGTAGGAAGTATGAAGCAGATAATAGTGAAATTTGAGGCTGCTGATATAAGATCCTGATTTTATTTTATTTTTTTTTTAATTTTTTTTTTCAACGTTTATTTATTTTTGGGACAGAGAGAGACAGAGCATGAATGGGGGAGGGGCAGAGAGAGAGGGAGACACAGAATCGGAAACAGGCTCCAGGCTCCGAGCCATCAGCCCAGAGCCCGACGCGGGGCTCGAACTCACGGACCGCGAGATCGTGACCTGGCTGAAGTCGGAGGCTCAACCGACTGCGCCACCCAGGCGCCCCAAGATCCTGATTTTAAAAGCCTCATTTGCCATATTAAAAAGTGTAGAAATATTCTGCAGACAGTGCAGAACCATTGAAGAGATTTAAGTGACGGAATAATGTGGTCAAATTGGGGTTTACATCTCATACTCTTTCAGTTACAGGGGCTAGAATGGAAACAGAGAGACAAATCAAAAAGATTTTTGTAAAAATCAAAGGCAGAGAACGAAACAGCCTGAACTAGAGCTAGGGATGGAGAGGAAAGGACAGGAGTACTTTGAAGACACACAGAGCAGCATTTGGGGGTTGGTTGGATATGAAAAAGGGAGGAGTGAAAAAGGACCCCTTGGCTGACTGCATCAATGGTGATACTGCCTGTGGAAATGGGAAACACAAGAGGAAGAGTAGGTTTAATGAAGCCAATCTCCTGGTTTAGTTTTAAACAATCTCCTGTGGGAAATTCTACCGGAAATGTCCAATTGGCAGTTAGATAGTCCTGGTCTTAAAGGAGAAGTGTGAGCTGGAGATGCACATTTAGGAGATGTTATGGGCCAAGCTATGTTCCCCCAGAGTTCTGTAGCGAATTAATTTCTCAGAATGTGACTGGGTTTGGAGATAGGGTCTTTCAGGAAGTAAGTCAGATAAAATAGGATCACAAGGGTGGGACTTAATGCAATATGGCTGGTGTCCTTATGAAATGAGATTAGCACACAGACAAGCACAGAGGAAAGGAAGAAGACAGCCATCTACAATCCAGGAAGTGAGGCCTCAGAATGAAACCACCCCGCCAACACTTTTTTCTTGGACTTCTAGTCTACAGAACTATGAGAAAGTAAATGTCTATTATTTAAGCACCCAGTCTGTGGTATGTGTTATGGCAACCCAAGTGGATTGGTACAGGAGACTTCATAGTTAAGGTAAAACTTGAAACAATGACACTGGAAAATAAAATCTAAAGAGTGCATGTAGTGGAGAGCCCCAAAGTACAGGGGAAAATCCCCCAAAGGATGAGCAGGAAAGGAGCCCTCAGAAAGATAAAGGAACCAGGAATCTGTGGTGTCACAGAAGCTACGGGAATAGAGTGCTCAAAATAAGAATCATCAACATTGTCAAATACAGCAGGAAATATCAGTGAGATTGTTCCTGAAATGCAATTGACACAGCACGGATAATCTGAGTGAAAATCTTATCTGTAGAGTGGTGTTGGCAGGATCTGGGTTGGAGTGGGTTGAGGAGAGAATCAGAGACTATGGATGTGGCCCACCACTTTGAGAAGTTTGAATGCAAATGAGAGGAAAGAGATTGAGATTTACCAGAGGAAGACCTATTGACCTTAGAATGCAAGAGAGGGTCATGTTTTCACACTGAGGAAATGGGCCCGAGATAATGGGAGAGATTGAAGATGGAAATGAAAACAAAGGATGACCCATGGAGTAAGATTCTGGAGGAATAGGATGAATCATGGGATAGGCATGGATGGAAGAGTTGGTCTGAAACAGAAAAAAAAAAGCTTCATCTTCTAAAATTAGAGCAAAAGAGTTGAGGAATGATGATTAGGTATGTAGATTTATAAGTGTAGAGTGATAAATTGCGGACGATTGTGCACAATAGTGTCAATTCTCTTTGGAGGTAGAGCAAGCTCTCTAGTTGCCTGTTTTTCTCTTGGGGCATTTGGTCTCCAGGTAGAGGAGGATCGGGATTTTGTTGACTGATTCATCAGGAAGGAAAAGCCTGAAAGGGATTTGAGAGGGCCAGTGCCTGATGGTCCAGATTCTATCTGGCCATGTATGATTGTCTCCCTCATAACAGAAGGCAATGTAAGAGGATTAGGTGAACTTCCTGATGCAGCCAATCCAGTGTATTGTAAGGGAGAAGAAGAAATTGAAGATCAAGCATTTATATAGGATAGAGAACCACTGTGTGATATGTATACTCTATGATTATGTATGAAGAGCTTTAAAAGATAAAGCTGAGAATCTATCCTGTGCAAAAATGTAGCAAAGAGATCTTCAGGCTTCCTGTCTTATGCCCCTATTCTCTTTTATGGATCTTTTACATCTGCAGAAAGATATACTAATTCTCATTCAGTGTTCATAATTAATTTATATTTTTTTCTGGTAGAACTTAATACATTAGCAGCAACAGGAGCCACCATTTTTTTTTTTTTTTAAGTAGGCTCCATGCCCAGTGTGGGGCTTGAACTCAAAACCTCGAGGTCAAGAGTCACAAGCTCTACTGAGCCAGCCAGGCACTCCTAACCATTTTTAGCACTTATTATGTGCTACGTGTTATGCTCATGTTCACATATATCATAACATTTGTCATCCCAACTACCCTATGAAGAGTGTACTATCTTTGCCCCAGCGAACAGGTAATAAGTTGAGGTTTACCCAAGATTCACAAGGCTAGCAATTGGTAGAGGTAAGATTCAAACCTGTGGCTGTTTGAAACTGCCAGTCTACCTTTTAAGAAGGAGAGCTAGACAGCAAAATGACTAAGATTACACATTTTCTTTGTATGTTATGTTGATCTCCTCAAGCTGAAAGATGAGATGGTAGCTGGAAAATATCACTCCCACCCTTTCCTGCTCCATCCACCAAAATGCACCATCAATTTAGTCCTGTAAGGCAATACAGCAAGCAAATTTTGTAGTATTTCTGAAAGAATCCTGGCAGTGAACTGCATCCCCTTTTAATTTCCCAAGGGATGTATCCAATTTATATCAACTTTGATGTTTGAAATATTTCTGTTTCTTACTCAAGAAAGGAAAAATACAGTTGGATGCTAATAAAATAATTATAAGTACCAATTATCTAGAGTAAACAAAAAAGTGTTATACAAATACATGAAGAACATGCAGAAAAACAACAGCATAATGATAGAAATTAACTTTATGCCACATTTCCATGCATTGTTTTGAAGTTTATGTAATTTATGACACCACCCTCATATTAGATTTTGAATTGGAAGAAATAAGCTTGTGTTTCATTATATTATACTGTAATATAGGGCTTAATAAGAGCCTGATAAATCTTAAGTATTGCATTATACTATGTTAATGATTATCATCATAGCTTTTCCAACACAGGCACCACAGTGTCATCACAGATTATAATTTAAAGGAAATATTAGCAATTCAGAGTGCCCATATACTGTAGTTAATAAAGCAGTGAATAGAAATCAGCTTTATAGGTAATTTACCAGC